AAAATTTATATATGACTGACTGATGACATGAATTTTTATATCTTTGGCTTTTTTATTATTAATTTAATGCAATACTATATTAGAATATTTATTGAATATCTTATCATATATTATGCAAAAAAAATTTAGGCGAAAGGATTTATATGTGGTATTTATGGTAATATTCTTTAAGTCATATTAGTTTATGTGAGAATTTTTCAAACTTATATTATATAAGTTATAAAAGTTATAAGTTATATACGTTTATATTTTACAAAATTATGAATTTATGATTTCACAGTAGATTTTATATTTTTAAATTTTATTTATCATTTTAATTATTTAATTATTTATATGTGAACAGAGATTCTTTGTTATTGAAAAAATTTTGTTTACTATTTATATATTTCTACTCAATTTAATTAATCATTCAAATCAAATGTAATCTAATTTTACAAATTATAGATATATTTGAAAATTTATTTTTGTTTTATATTTTGTTCTCAAATAAACTATAATTCGATTTAATGGACGAGATTTCAGATTTATTTTCCATGATTTCAATTTATTTTATTAAAAAGAAACACAAAAATTCCCTATTGTTTATGAGAAGGAAGAAAAACAGTAGAGAGAGAGAGAAAGAGAGAGAGTAATGTAATCGATAAACTAGTCTATAGAACACAGAACAGAGCCATAAGAGAACCGCTAACTTATGATATGATAGTAACAAAGTTTTTGTGTCGAAACGTTGGACTCAGTGTAAGGATCATTAAGCACATAGAGAGAGAGAGAGAGAGAGAGAGTCAGTTATTATGTGCAAAAATAATAACATTTGTGATACCATTGTTTCTGGTCGACGTCTCCTGTCTTTTCATCGGATGCACATGTATTTTACTGCCTCAATGACTTCTGCATCCGCATCTCTCTCTCTCTCTCTCTCTCTCTCAAAACATATAAATCTTTCAAAACAAATGCATTTTATATAAGAAAATTTTTTCATTCATTATTCTAAGTGTAAATTTTCACACAATACACACAAAAATATCGATTTTATCTTAATTTAACAAAAATATTCAAAATTTGAAGAATGGATTTATTTTTCAAATAAAAAAGTTTTCATAAATGATTTATTCGTTAATCATATGATTTAAATAATAGCGCAAAGAATGCATTGAATCGCATATATCTTATGCAAAGAATTCATTTATACATTTAAATCCACAGAATATTCTGTGCAAATAATAAGCAAATATACATAGAATAATACTCAAAGAATTGAGTTATTATGCAGACTATATATGAATAAAATAATGCCAAAATGCCAACAAAATAATACAATACATACCCTTCTGGGGGCTAAATCTTTGGATGGCAGAAAGGCTGCAAAACTGCCCTCTAATAGATCCGGATGACCGCACAGTGCATGTGCTGTATCACAATAATAGCTACACTTTCCGTGGAAGCAGAGATTGTTGGCTAAAGCATCGGTTTTTTGGGACACAATAGACAATGTTTTTGTTAGTTAGATATCCAACACAACTACAATTGATTATACCATTTGGTAATGGGTTTTCCGTACATATTTCTATTGCCATTGTGTTGGCTAAAGGATAGGTTTTTTGGGACACAATAGACAATGTTTTTTGTTAGTTAGATATCCAACACAACTACAATTGATTATACCATTTGGTAATGGGTTTTCCGTACATATTTCTATTGCCATTGCTTTACATAATAACTAATAACATGTTAACGTGTATTACCTTTCTGTAAGTTATCTTTGAGACATAGTGTATGTCTTTATTGTTTAGTAAATAATATATACAAATAAATATCTCAGCCGTAAGTATAATGAGAGACGGATTGAATAGATTCCGTGCTTTTTTCATTGTATGGTAACTATAAGATAGTTATACGTGTAATGAATACAACAGCAAAAGAAAAATGTATTGAAAAAATGCATTGAAATAAATGCGAGTCACTTATGGTATGCATTGATTACCCGGGGATACGAAAAATGTTTTCAACAATTCTTCGTCTGAAAGCGCATAGATTTCTGAACTCATATTAAGCACTCGTCCGACCACTGGAGGAGATCTCCGGAATCCCAGTATTCTGTGTCCCAAACAATTCAATCGATGGTTTGTTTTGTTGTTTATATTGAAAAATGCGATCACAGATACAAATGATATTAAATGATGTGATCATTGGATGTATTAGTGATGTGCAAAAGACATACCGATCCAAATGAAAGGACGCGATCTCACTGTTGTGTCGCTCGTAATCAGTAAAGTAGAAGTGATTGGGATCTGTCTCACGATCTCTGGGAAACCTGTGGTAATTGTAATCATTTGCAATTAGTTT